ATTTGAGGCCGGGCGCGGTGGCTCACGCCTGTAATCCCAGCATTTTGGGAGGCCAAGGTGGGTGGATCATGAGGTTAGGAGATCAAGATCATCCTGGCTAACACGGTGAAACCCCATCTCTACTAAAAATACAAAAAAAAAAATTAGCCGGGCGTGGTGGCTGGTGCCTGTGTCCCAGCTAATCAGAAGGCTGAGGCAGGAGAATGGTGTGAACCCGGGAGGCAGACCTTGCAGTGAGCCGAGATCGTGCCACTGCACTCCAGCCTGGGCGACAGAGTGAGACTCCATCTCAAAAAAAAAAGAAAATATTTGAAAATTTAAGTGAAAAAAGTAACATAAGCATAGAATGCTGCCATTTCAGGAGAAAAGAGAAACACATTCGTATTTGCTCGTACAGGCATAAAAAATTGTAAAAGGGTTCTTAAGAAATTGGTAACAATGGTTTCCTCTTCATGGTAGTATTGCTGGACAGATAGAGGAAAACAGTAGGAAGGGAATATGTTGAAATACACCTGACTTTTGAGCCCTCTAAATGTATTACCCATATGAAAATAGTTTTAAATCACATGCAACCTTTCTTAAGAATATATTATCAAGTATTCACCATTATGATACAATCCTCCTTCAGGTTTAAATACAACTTATATTAGAAAATGTAAGTTTAATAAAAATAAAATTGTATTTATAATGAAATTACTTCCCACACCAAATGAATCTATAATTTTATAGCTGATCATAATATGACATTTTATTTTTCAACCTCAGTAGGTATAAAACCAGGACCAATAATTTTGCCAGGGATATGCAATGTATTTATTATGTTCACAATTTACGAAAATAAATCCAGTTCCCAGAAAATAAAGGGCAGTACCCCTGCACAGGCTCTCTTGCCTACTACCATGTAAGACATGCCTTTGCTCCTCCTTTGCCTTCCACCATGATTGTGAGGCCTCCCCAACCATGTGGAACTGTGAGTCCATTAAACCCCTTTTTCTTTATAAATTACCCAGGTATGTCTTTATTAGCAGTATGAAAATGGACTAATACAGTCAACATTCTTTCATGATGAAACTCTAGACAAATTAGGTATAGAAGGAACATACGTCAACACAATAAAGTCCACACATGACAAACCCACAGCTAACATCATACTAAGACCTGGAACAAGACAAGAATGTCCACACTCACCACTCTTTTCAACATAGTACTGGAAGTCCTAGTCAGAGAAATAAGACAACAGAAACAAATAAATGGCGTCCGAGTTGGAACGGAGGAAGTCAAGTTGTCTCTCTGCATACAATATAGTCTTATACATAGAACAACCTGGCCAGGTGCAGTGGCTCATGCCTGTAATCCCAGCACTTCAGGAAGCCAAGGCGAGCAGATCACATGAGCCCAGGAGTTCGAAACCAGCTGGGGCAACGGAGTGAGATCCTGTCTCTACAAAACATACAAAAATTAGCCAGGAGCGGTGACACATGCCTATAGTCCCAGCTACTCAAGGAGCTGAAGTGGGAGAACTGCTTGAGCCTGGGAGACAGATGTTGCAGTGAGCTGAGATCATGCCACTGCACTCCAGCTTGGGCAACAGAGTAAGACCCTGTCTCAACGAGAAAAAAAAAGAGAGAGAGAGAAATCTGAAGACACCACTCAAAAACTGATCAATTCAGTTAAGTTGCAAGATCAACATTAAGAATCAGTAGCATTTCTTTTTCTTCTTTTTTTTTTTTTTTTGAGATGGAGTCTTGTTCTGTCACCCAGGCTGGAGTGCAGCGGCACCATCTCCGCTCACTGCAAACTCCGTCCCCCGGGTTCACGCCATTCTCCTGCGTCAGCCTCTGAGTAGCTGGAACTATACGTGCCCGCCACTACGCCCAGCTAATTTACAGGGTTTCACAGTGTTCGCCAGGATGGTCTCGATCTCCTGACCTCGTGATCTGCCTGCCTCAGCCTCCCAAAGTGCTGGGTTTACAGGCGTGGGTCACCACGCCCAGCCTAGAATCACTAGCATTTCTACACACCAACAACAAACTATCTGAAAAATAAATCAAGAAAGTAATCCTATTTACAATAGCTGTGAAAAATAATACCTAGGAATAAATTTAACCAACAAGGTAAAGAATCTCTACAATGAAAACTACAAAATACTGATTAAAGCAATTGAAGATGACACAAACAAACTGAAAAGACATCCCATGTTCATGAATCGGAAGAATAGATGACTGACTGACTGATTCACTAATTAAGGTCTTGTTCTGTTGCTCAGGCTGGAATGCAGTGGCACAATCATGCCTCACTGCAACCTTGAACTCCCAGGCTCAAGGGATCCTTCTGCCTTAGCCTTCCAAGTAGTTGAGACTGCAGGAATATGCCACCGTGCCTAGCTATTATAATGTTTTTAATTTTTGTAGAGACAGCATCTCACTATGATGCCCAGGCCAGTCTCAAACTCCTGGGCTCAAGTGATCAGCCCACCTTGGCCTCCCAAAGTGCTGAGATTACAGGTGTGAGCCACTGTGCCTGGCCATGAATTGGAAGAATTTATACTATTAAAATGACTATACTACCCAAAGCGATGTAAGATTCATACAATTCCAATCAAAATACCAATGACATTCTTCACAGAAATGAAAAAAAAAATCCTAAAATTCATATGGAACCACAAAAGATCTCACAAGCCAAAGCAATCCTGAGCAAAGAGAACAAAGCAGGAGGCATCACATTACCTGACTTCAAAATACACCACAACGTAACCAAAACAGCATGATATTGGCATAAAAACAGACACACAGATGATCAATGGAGCAGAATAAAGAACCCAGAAACAGTATCACATATTTATAGTCAACTGATTTTTAAGAAAGGCATCAAGAACATTCACTGAGGAAAGAACAGTCTCTTCAATAAATGGTGCTGGGAACACTGGATATCCAGATGCAGAAAAATAAAACTAAACCCCTATCTCTCAACATACACAAAAATCAACTCAAAATGGATTTAAGACTTAAACTAAATCCTGAAACTATGAAGCTACTAGAAGAAAACATACGGAAAATGTTTCAGGACATCTGTACAAAGATTTTATGGCTAAGACCTCAAAAGCACAGACAGCAAAAGTAGACAAATGAGATTATATCAAACTACCAAGCTTCTGCACAGCAAAAACAAAAAAAAACAAACAAGCAAAAAAGAAGCAATCAACTGAGTGAAGAGACAATCTGCAAAATGGGGGGAAACATTTGCAAACTATTCATTTGACAAGGGATTAATACTCAATATACAAGGAGCTCAACAGCAAAAACAATCCAATTTTTTTTTTTTTTTTTTGAGATGGAGTGCAGTGGCACAATCTTGACTCACTGCAAGCTCTGCCTCCCAGGTTCACGTCATTCTCCTGCCTCAGCCTCCCAAGTAGCTGGGACCATAGGCGCCTGCCACCACGCATGGCTAATTTTTTTGTATTTTTTAGTAGAGACGGGGTTTCACCGTGTTAGCCAGGATGGTCTCGATCTCCTGACCGCGTGATCCACCCACCTCAGCCTCCCAAAGTGCTGGGATTACAGGTGTGAGCCACTGTGCCCGGCCCAAACAATCCAATTTTTTTAATGAGCAAATAATTGATCTGAAAAGACATTTCTAAACAGAAGACATACTACTGGCTAATACATGAAAAAATGCTCAGTATCACTAATTGTCATGGAAATGCAAATCCAAACCATACTGAGATATTATCTCACATGTGCCAGAATAGCTATTATCAAAAGACAAAGGCTGGGTGCAGTGGTTCACACGTGTAATCCCAGCACTTTGGGAGGCTGAGGCAGGAGGACTGCTTGAGCTCAGGACTTCAAGGTTTCAGTGAGCTATGATGGTGCCACTGTACTCCAGCCTGGGTGACACAGCAAAACCCTATCTCTAAAATAAATAAGTAAAAATAAAAGACAAAATACGACAAATGCTGACAAAAATGCAAAGAAAGGGGAACTCTTGTATACTGTGGGTAAGAATGTAAATTCATATAGCCTTTATGGAAAACAGTATGGAGGATTTTCAAAAAACTAAAAACAGAACGACCATATGGCCCAGCCATCCAACCACTGGGTATATATCCAAAGGAAAGAAAAACAATATGCTGAAGAGACAGCTCCACTCTCACGTTTACTGCAGCATTAACCTGGGTGTACATCAAGAAATGAAAGGATAAAGAAAATTTAGTATATATACACAATTAAATAAAGCCATGAAAAAAGAATGAAATCCTATCATTCTGGGCAACATGGCTGAGTGAAGTTGGTGAAATAATTCAGGCACAGAAAGATAAATACCATACATTCTCATTCAAATGTGGATGCTACAGAAGTAGAGAGTAGAAAAGAAGTTACTAGAGACTGGGAAGGGGAGGAAATAGGAAGAGGTTAGTTAACAGACACAAAATTATAGCTAGATAAGAAACAACTTCTAGCGTCCTTTTTAAAAAGAGATGAGGGTCCCACTGTGACTGGAACTACAGACGCCCACCACTATGCCCAGTTTTCATGTTCTAGAGCACCGTGGGGTGACTACAGTTGACAACAACTTATCGTTTATTTTCAAATAGCTAGAAGAGAGGATTTTAAATGTTCCCACCACAAAGATAAATGTTAATGATAATTAACAATGATAAATGTTGGAGATGATGGATTTGCTAATTACCTTGATTTTATCATGACACATTATACCTATGTATCAAAATACCACACTATACCCCATAAATATGTACATGTAGTATGCGTCAATTTTAAAATAATCATGTTTTCGCAGGGCCTTACAATCATAAGTGATGAATGCAGGTTTGATCAAATACAAAAGTATGCTCACTATTGGGAGGCGGAGGCGGGCGGATCACAAGGTCAGGAGATCAAGACCATCCTGGCTAACACGGTGAAACCCCGTCTCTACCAAAAATACCACAAAAAAAAAAAGTACACTCACTATAAAAGAAACAACGCATTCCAACATACCTTGCTATGATGAATGTGCCCCAAATCATTAAGATAATACTCTTCAACTGAATGGGGCTTGCCTTCCACTTCAAAAATATATGCAGGATTCATCTTGTTTTGAACAGGAACGGCAAAGTAGTCTGCAAACTCTTTACAGTTGATGGTAGCCGACATCAGGACTACCTACAGAGTAAGAGAAAACATTAAAATAAAACAGTGAGAATAATAACCAAATTAAATACTTCTAAAATTACAGGCTTTTCTTCTGCTTCATTCCTTATTTAACAACTTTTGAGACTTCAAAGAGACCACCTTGATTTAATCACTAGTGTAATTATTGTGTGAATTACACACTAGTGTAAACTAGTGTAAAATACTAGTTTAATCAGAGATACCAACTTTTACCATTTCTCTTCAAGTACCTTATCAAGTGATAAATTTTATCTCCAATAAGGGTAAATTAAAATCATTTATCTGAAAGAAAACTTCACATCAGGAGACTAATTTTAAAAAAGAATATGGCCCAGGCAAAGAAAGACACTGTGGCTCACACCTATAATCCCAGCACTTTGGAGGCTGAGGTGGGAGGACACTTGAGCCCAGGAGTACAAGACCAGCCTGAGCAACAACATGAGACCACTGTCTCTACAAAAAAAAATAGTAATAATAAATTAAAAATAAATTTTAAAAAAAAGAGTAAGGCCAAGTGCCATGGCTCATGCCTATAATCTTGGGTCAAGAGTTTAAAACCAGCCTGGGCAACATAGTAAGACTCCATCACTACAAAAACTTTAAAAACAGCTGGGCATGATGCTGCCCTCTTGTAGTCCCAGCTACTCAAGAGACTGAGGTGGGAGGATCACTGGAGCCAAGGAGGTTGGAGCTGCGGTGATCTATGATCACACCACTGCACTCTAGCCTGGGCAACAGAGCAAGATCCTGTTTTTAAAACAAAAATAAAAAATAAATTAAAAAGAATAAGTTACTCTATGATGTGTTCCAGAGAAATGACAGAGTAAGCCAGCAAAGAAGACAGGGGATCTAGAAAACTCTAGCTCCAACTCAAGAAACTGGAGAAGTCCCAGGACAACAGTGGTGCAGTAGCAGAGGAACAACCCCAGACTGGGGCAAGATGACTGACTGCAGCTTTCAGTTTTGTCAAAAAGCAAATATGAAATGATATCCTTAATAAACTCAGCCATGAATGACAGGGGCAGTGCATACAGCACAAGATGTGCCTGGAGAAGGCGGCTGATTACGGAGGATCTCCCAGCTCAGCAGTCTCCACAATGCTATGTGGCAAGTGGGCACAGCAGTCCGGCTGGCTGCTCACCACCTACTATACATCGCAAGTAGAGTTATCGAAATGGAAATCCTAGTCAAAAAGTAAATTTTTTTTATTTTTTGAGACAAGTTCTGGCTCTATCGCCCAGGCTGGAGTGCAGTGGCGTGATGTCAGCTCACTGCAACCTCAGCCTCCTGGGCTTCAGTGATCCTCTCACCTCAGTCACCCAGGTAGCTAGGACTTCGTAGAGGCGAGGTTTCGCCATGTTGCCCAAAGCCTGGTCTCAAACTTGTGAGCTCAAGCGATCTGCCCACCTTGGCCTCCCAAAATGCTGGGATTACAGGCGTGAGCCACCGCACCCAGCCAAAAAGTAAACATTTCATATAAGCATTGTTGTTGCAGTTATCGAGTAAAGAAAACATCTGTATTTTCCCCTTTAGAATGAGATACAAATGGTAAAAACTGTACAGACTAAAACTCATTTTGAGAAGAGATGTCTGAAGTTAAAAAGAATGCTCTGAGAAGCCACTTGGAGTGGAAGAGTGGCTCTTAAGGGACACACCCCAGTCACCATAAATACCTCTAAACTGGGTTTTAAGGAACGATGAGGCTAGTGAACTGCAGGACACTGAGTGCAGCCTGCAAACAAGAGGCCAAGCCTGGAATGCTAGGAGCAAGGAGGACTCAGCCTGGCGACCAGCCTCCCTCACCCACCCTCCCCTGCAGCCCTCTGCTGCTTCTCCAAACAGACAAGTCAGCAGACACCCAAGACAACTGCCTGTCTGGAGTAGGCCTGAGCTGAATCCAGTCAGCTAGAGGTGACAGCAAGGTCAGTGGCTGGAGGATGGTATAGAGGAGGCACTGAGAGGAAGCCAGGTCAGGGGAACCACAGGGACCTAAAGGTTGGCGGGAGAGGTAAGGGGAGGCCTTAAAGCCCATGTGCCCATGCCCCACACCCAGGTCCCCTTGACAACGGCACTCTCTTTAAAAGCTAATAAAGATTTTTTTAGAGTTTTTTAAAACCCTCTTACGAAACCATCTAGAATATAGTGTCTAATTTCTTGGCCCAACTACATGTACCATATAAGTTTCTATATCAAGAAAATATGCTGCTTCATATATTTGCTAATAATTCATGAACATAGCGAAACTGACAACCCATTTCTTACAACTTATAAGTACCAAATTCCTTACCACCATGTCCATCAGTATAGGGTTTTTTTTAACCCAATAAACACTTTAACTCTCTTTACCACTGAAAAAATGTGTAACCAACTCATTATTCCGACTTGAGTAAAAAAGAAGTGTCTTAAATTACATTCAAGAAACGTCTCAATGTGAATAATCTTCAATGACAGCTTGGTTAAGATTCCAAGAAGGACTGAAATAGCCAAACTCTCTCATTCATTTCATGATCACCTCAAGCAATGAGACAACTGATTGCAAATGTCAGCTTCCATTCATTCAGCACCCACCACGTGAAAAGATGAACATTCTAAGGCAGAAGCTTCCCCACTTGGGGACATGGGAAAGAGAAAGAGAAATGTTTTCCTCAACAAATAAACACTTGAAGACAAAATGCTTTATGGTTTAGAAAGCAACTATTTTCCAATAACAGCAAATCCCTTAGCAGCTCCATCATAGAATAACTGAATATCCCAACCATGTGGCCTTTTATCAAGCTGTTTCCCACAGACCTCTGCTTAGCACAGCTGGGTTAAGGTTAACCTATGAGTAGACTTGTTTAGATTGCACAATTATTCTAAACCCTTTGCCATTTTGGCCTAGTCCACACCTTCTTCCTTTTTGTTCAAATAAGAAGTAAATGATATTTATCATTCCCATCAACCTTCACTTAACTTACGTCTCTCAAATAGTAGTACATATTCTGTTCTCAAACTTCAATGCACTTTGGTGCTATTTCGAAACCAGGGATTGCAGATTAATTCACTTACTTTTTGTTTTGTTTTTGTTTTTGTTTTTGAAATGGAACCTCTCTCTGTTGCCCAGGCTGGAGTGCAGTGGCACAATCTCAGCTCACTGCAACCTCCGCCTCCCGGCTTCAAGCAATTCTCCTGCCTCAGCCTCCCGAGTAGCTGGGATTATAGGCACCCACCACCATGCCTGGCTAGTTTTTGAGACAGGGTCTCATCTGTTACCCAGACTGGAGTAGAGTGGCACAATCACAGCTCACTGCAGCCTGGACCTCCCAGGCTCAATTAATTCTCCATCAGCCTCCCGAGTAGCTGGGACCACAGACACACACCACTATGCCCAGCTAATTTTTGCATTTTTTGTAGAGATGGGATTTAGCCATCTTACCCAGGCTGGTCTTGAACTCCTTGGGCTCAAACAATCTGCCCATCTTTGCCCCCACAAACTGCTGGGATTACAGGCGTGAGCCACTGTACTGCCCAGCTTCATTCACATAACTTTAAATTAAGGTACTTAATCAACCAAAAGCAAAGCTCAAAACCCAGCATGTCATTATAGTTAACTACTATTAGACCATTTTCTGCAGCCTGGAGAAAATATGAGAATTTAAGGCAACGTAATAACCAAAAAGTATCCATACTCTGATCATAAAAGAATTCCCTTTAGTCCGCTTCCTGGCAAGATCTGGTGTCCTACACATGATCATGAATTTTAAGAGTCATCAGTTTCAAATATTTCTATTAAAACATAGTCAGCCCGGCCACATGCAGTGGCTCACACCTGTAATCACAGCACTTTGGAAGGCCAAAGCAGGCAAATCACTTGAGGTCAGGAGTTCGAGACCAGCCTGGTGCAAAACCCCATCTATACCAAAAAATACCAAAAAAAATTAGCCTGGCCTTGTGGCAGGTGCCTGTAGTCCCAGCTACTCAGGAGGTTGAGGCACGAGAATTGCTTGAACCTAGGAGGCAGAGGTTGCAGTGAGCTGAGATTGCACCACTGCACTCCAACCCGGGCAACAGAGTGAGACTCCATCGCTAAATAAACAAACAAACAGCCCTAGGCTGGGCACGGTGGCTCACATCTGTAATCCAAGCACTTTAGGAGGCCGAGGCGGGCGGATCACGAGGTCAGGAGATCGAGACCATCCTGGCTAACACGGTGAAACCCCATCTCTACTAAAAATACAAAAAATTAGCCGGGTATGGTGGCGGGTGTCTGTAGTCCCAGTTACTCGGGAGGCTGAGGCAGGAGAATGGCATGAACCTGGGAGGCGGAGCTTGCGGTAAGCCAAGATCACGCCACTGCACTCCAGCCTGGGCAACACAGCGAGACTCCGTCCCAAAAAATATATATATAGTCAGCCCTCTGTATCCAGATTCTGCATTTGCAGATTCAACCAACTAAAAATCAAAAACATTCAGAAAAAAACAAAAATATGAGTTTAAACAATAGAGTATAGCAACTCTTCACATGATAGTGAGTACTGGAGATAACCTGGGGTGAGTTGGGGCGTATGGGGAGACATGCGACATGCAAATACTTTACTGTGCCGTTTCATGGAAGGCACTTGAGGATCCTCAGATTTCAGTATCTGTCGGGGGTCCCAGAATCCTCTATAGACACCAACGGACTATAGAGAGAAACAAAACTCAACAATAAGTCTTAACCCTAAATAGGTCTGTTACTCACGAAATCAAATTTACCTTCACAAAACGTGAATTTGTTCTTAAGAGTTTGCGGACTACCAACAGCAGGAAATCCATTTCTTCTGTTCGTTCGTGTACCTACAAAATAAAAAAGGGGGCACCCCCACATGACATCAGGCAACACACATCACTGCTGACAGAAAGGCACCCCTGGGGGAATGGGGACTAAACCAGTTGTCTCTGCTAAATGCAGTTCCTCAGGGGGCTGGTATAACTCCTGGTTAAGGGGAAGCAAAGAGCATCGGCCAACAGACCACAGACCACCCACTCAGTCACAGCCTCCAGTGTTTCTCCTTAGGCCCCTCGGGAGAAGGCAGAGTAATGTTCGGCACCCTCGCCCCTGCTCATTTACTGCCAACTGTGCCCAAGGTTGTTGTGACAACCAGAAGCCTCTCCACCTACCTCAAGCACAGAGAACCACTGGGCCACCCTCCCACGGCCGCTGCTTGCCATAACCCCTGCCAGGTCTGCAGGTACACTGTCATCTCAGCAAGCAAGCACAGGGTCGAAGACGTGCTAGTCTAACACTGACCAGGAGCCATGTGACCCCTACAGGACACATTCCATAATGTGCATAACTGCAGTTCACAAGGGTGGGCAAGGGATGGTCCTGGAAAAGCTGGGTCAGTCACAAACAGGTAAACCAGAGCAAGGTTAGGACCCAAGGTCAGTAGTGCTGACACTCGGGGACAGCAGTCGGGGAGGCAGCACCTCAGACAGACCTCAGACAGACCATGCAGCCCTCACAGAGACCTCAGTCAGAGCCATTCCAGGACCCACAGTCCCCCAACCCCGCCCCACCCCAGAACCAGCTAGCACCTAAGGGCTAGGCAGCCTATTTTTCTAAAGAAGCCAGTTACTCTAGAACTTAGGAAATGTCAATGTACAAGGGGACAGTAAGATTCTATTCCGTGACATTTCTCGGCCGAAGTGGAGAGATAATTATTAAGTTTCAAAGAGGGAGTTCTCCTTTCCTCAGTGTAACAGGTGAAAGGATTTAGCCTGTAAGTAATTCTAATTCTATTCCAGACCCCACTATCTTCTGAACTTCCCACTGAAGAAGATGTCTAAGAAGTAGCATAGAGAAAAGAAAAACAAAAATCAGCAGCTGAAAGGTATTTAACACCATCATAAATCTCATGCTGTCCCTTGACTTCAGAACGCTTCCTCAGCACAAACATCCTCTCTTTTACTTGAGAAGAAAAATCAAGGCTATCATCAGCAAAGTGAGCTCTCCTCAGCTTGTGGCAGTCTCTCCTGAGTTCATACACCCATCATCTCCCCTCTGCCCATGGCCCACTGGCTCCAGGTTCCCTGCACCAGCCTTTCTAACACATAAACATGAACACATCAGCAGATGTGTCTCCCCAGTACTCATCTTTATAACCTTAGCCCCTTAGAAGGCACCTTTTCCATAGCAGTACTCAAACAAATGTTTATCGAATGAATGATGTGCCTAAAGCTAGTTTATTCTTAAGAGCTGGAAAATTAAAAACATTATTCCATTTGAAACTGGCTGGTCATCTTCAACGTTTGTTCTTGTATTTATTTTGAAATTCAAATAATCCCAGATAATGCAAACGATACTGTATGTAAACCTAAAACTTAAGGTAGTTGAATCCAGTCCATTCATTTATGAAGCAAATAATCCCTGGGGCATCTACTAGGTGCTGACACCGCACTCGACAAAGGCAGAGCAGGAAGTTGTCGGAATGGCGCGATAGTCTTCTGTGGGTTACCACTCCCCCGTAGGGCAAGCTCTTGAAGAGAAGAGCTAACTTTTGCTCAGCTATTATGGCAGAGCTTGAGAAAAGGATATAGTCAATAACACAGTATTGATTGATTCATCTGTGTCACTGAAGTATGTGTGTGCAAAGGCCACGTAGGCAGAGAAATATGTCAGACACACAGAAAATAAATGCAGGCGCTAGCAGCACAGGCTCTAGAGTCAACTACCCAGGGATGAACCCAGCAACATCACTGATTACTTGTGGCCTAAGCGCTGAACTTTCTTAAACTTTAGTTTCCTTTTATGTAAAGTGGGTTCAATTATACTAAAAAGCCCAATGAAAAACTATTATAACCTTCATAATGTCATCTTTTGGCATATTATCTATTAAATCTGAATTTGACCTCTACCTACTATAAAGATATTCAAAACTGCCATAAGTCATAAAAGAAAATTCTGAACTGTATTATATATTACCCTATTTTGTAAGAAACAGTTGATCATTTTCACCCTCTCCTACTGTCCCACGAAATGCCCTATAATAATTTAAAACCAAGTGTCTGTACATACGATCACAAACGTACTGACTCAGCTCTACCTGGAGTACATGTTGTATTATTAGTTGTCCCACGCATCAAAATAGAGTAGGGAGACACTACTCTAAACAGTTGCCCAAATGGGTTTATCCTTTTGGTTGCTATTGTTGTTTTGAGACAGTCTCGCTCT